TCATATCAGAATCAGTGGAACATTCTAGAAACAAGGGAGACCGCAGGTGTCACACAGGCATTACTTATTCCTAAGCTTTCAGTGAAAGATGAGTTTGAAAGGATGGTTTGCTAGCATAACACTGAGGAGAGGACTATCAAACAGGTGTTAGCCTGTGCCCAGAGGACTGACTTCAAACTCTTTTTCCCTGTAGGTCAACATCGATGGAGGAGCCATTGCCTTGGGCCATCCTCTGGGAGCATCTGGCTGTAGGATTCTAGTGACCTTGTTACACACGCTGGAGAGAGTGGGTGGGACCCGTGGTGTTGCAGCCCTGTGCATTGGAGGTGGGATGGGGATCGCAGTGTGTGTCCAGAGAGGATGAGCTGCCTGACAGCCAGCACCCTTGGACAGTTCCTGTTAAATCAGTGAAACACTAAGTAGAAAGTGAAGTCAGAGGGCCAGAGTGAGGACAGGAACCCAGGTGGACAGCTTGCTTTAATGTGAGACACCCAAGGCTAAGACATTGCACCCAACATTGTTGTACATAAAAGGGAAATCCAATCAGTCATCAAGGGCTCCACAGTGAACAGCATTTTTATAATTCCCATGTTTATTGTCTTTGCTTTCTGGGTGTAATTTTCTCTGATCATTGTTTGTTTGTTTGTGAGTCAAGTTCTCACTATATAGCCTGAAAATCGTTTTGTAGATCAGGTTGGCTTTGAACTCCCAGAGATCCGCCTTTCTGTGCCTCCTGAGTACTTGAATTAAAGACATACACCGTTATGCAGGGCCCCCAAAATGATCCATTCAAAGAATGGGGATGCGGCTTCTGTAGTTGCAAACTTCAGGCTCTTCGCTTTAACTATGGTTAGTTGAAACACCCCTGCTTGCTCGTTGTCTTGTGGTTTCCCACTGATCAAATCAAGACCAATCCTGTAATGAAAATCGGATTCAGTGACCTCCTCCAGGCTGAGGTGGTAGGGTAGGAATTCCAGCTGTTCTAGTCCAAACGCCTGGCAGTGCCAGTAGGTGTGCCTCTGGGTTGTCAGAAGTGAGCAGCAGCTTCTGTGCATTTATTTCTTCTTGACTGGACGGGATGCTTCCTGCTTCAAATGTCTACCTTGACTTCCCCAAAATGATGAACTGTAACTGGAATTGAAAGCCAAATAAACTCTTTCCCCTCACATTGCTTCTTGTCAATGAGTTTTATGGTGACAACAGAAAAAGCCAGAGCATAGGACGTGGGAAGGACAGCCAGCTTCAACAGAAAAGCCACGGTTTGCAGACTAGAGGTTCATTTGTCTTCATTTCTAATGAGCCATATGCTACTCAGACAGACCTGCAGGAGAGCTATGGAAAGCATAAGCTATAATAGAGATAGATTTCAAAAATCAGTTATTGAAGCCATGACTGGTGATGGGCCAAATACACAACAGTAATCCCCTAAGAGTATCATGGAATAGAAAGTGATGTCCCAGCAGCTGTAGTCAGGGCGGTGCATCCCAAACAGGGCTACAGCCAACATGGTGTGCACTAGCTAACATGCATAGCACATCCAGTCTAATGAAAAGTAGTCTTGCCAGTCCCTGCAGGCCCAGGGCTACATGTCAGGAACATGTTCTGCCTCTATCTCAGGAAGATGCAATAGAGTTGTACAAAAATTTACCGGAAAATAAATTTACCAGAAATAAACCAAGATTTATTTATGTGTGTATGTGTTCTCATGTTTGTATATGCACATTTGGAGACCAGAGAGCATCAGATCCCCTGGAACGGATTTATGAGCCACCATGTGGGTGCTAGGACTGAACCCAGGTCCTCTGCAAGAACAACTAGTACTCAACCACTGAACCATCTCTCTAGCCCCATTTTTATTTAAAGGGTGTGGTGGGCACCATGTGAATAGCGTGAGGAAGCCAGAGGCAGTGGCTGCTCCTGGAGTAGTGCTGGGAATTGAACCCACTGCTAAGAAAGTTTAAATAGGATCAGGCTGCTCATAGACAACGTAGGTTAAATACAAGGATCCCAGAGTTGTCAGCATGATGTGTGGGTACTGAAGTGATGGGGTGCACCTGATGTTTCCCCAGGAGCTGCTGCAAAGTTGGGTAATGTGGGGCAGTGGGCTGTGAGAGGCAGCTGGGTACCTGGTCAAGTGCAGGCCTTGAAACCTGGAGCCCCTAAAGGGATGGTAGGAGTTCGGCCTTGCTCCTGGGCCCTGGTTCCTTTCACATAGCTACAGCCCCTCCCAAAGAGAAGTTTTCGGCCATTGGGTCATGTACCACAGGTAGAGGGTGTGATTACAGGCTGCAGAACCTCAAGAGATCTCAATATTCATGAGATACCTAAAGGCCAGAGGGCGTAGTCAATAAATCATTCCTTCCCAGACCCTCCTCCTTGCAAAAGGTATTTAACCTCAGGCCTGCCCTGAGAACACGGAGTAATTTTCCACCACGACAATAAACATTTTAAGACCATGGACTACCTCTCCTCTTTAGAGCCCGCCATGGGGAACCATAGAGAAGGTCTTCAACTACCAGCTACAGAGGCCGCCAACTCAAGCGAGCCAGCCAAGCCAGCCATGATCCAGCCGAGCCAGCCAAGCCAGCCATGACCCAGCCAAGCGAGTCCAAGAGTCTCATCCCCTTGGGACAGAGCTGGAGCTTGTCCCCCTTGCCCCTTCGGTAGCAAGTCGATCCAGCCTGTTACACCCTCGTCCTTTGGCTGCGGGTCAATCCAACCTGTACACACTCGTCCTTTGGCTGCGGGTCGATCCAGCCTGTACACCCTCATCTTGGCCTTTCTGCGGCCTCTCAGTGACGCGTGAGAGCCCAAGGGTCTGAGACCAGTTGGTTCCCAGCTGCCTCCTGGCCCGGGGATCCCCAACCCAAGAGCTCCTGCCCCCGTGGTGCCCCAGACTGTCCTCTCCACTCTGGATCGGAGCCCTGTGGTTTCTCACAGACATTTGCCCAGCGTGGAGTGAACTCAGTCAAATTCCCACGCTTCTGCCTCTCTGAGCTGTGGCTCCAGCCCCTTGGGGCAGCAGACACGGGACCCACAATTCAGCCCAACAGGACCCATGCCCACGTGTGCACCACAGCCCAACAGGGTGAGGGACAGAGTAAGCCCACAAAGGTGGCTGAAGAGTGGCCAGAGAGTAAGGGGGGAGTGGAATGGAAAAGGCATGAAACTGCAGAAGCACACCAGAATGACTATCCTTTCAGAACACCAGGAGTCCTGCAGCCAGCCTGTAATGGGATGGGGTGTAGGGAGAATAGCCAGAGGGAGTCTGCAAAAGGAAGATGTAAATGGAACATTACAAGATTAAATGAGACCAAGGATGTTCCTTCTTTAATTAGAAAAGATACCACCTGGCAAGAATCCCTTCCCAGTCAGCACTTTTTTTTCTCAGATAATACTATGTGCCCAATGTTACATCTGCTTTCAAAAGTTATACTTGCAGTTTGCCTTGAGTTCGACAACTATGTAATAACAGTGTAAGGCTAAAACCAGGCATAGTGACACCCAGCTTTAATCCCAGCATTCAGGGAGTAGAAGCAGGTGGATCTCTAAGTTCCAGGACAGCCTGACCTACATAGTGACTTATAGGTCAGCTAAGGGCTACAGTATGAAGTCATGTCTGAAAGAAAGAAGAAAGAAGAAAGAAAGAAAGAAAGAAAGAAAGAAAGAAAGAAAGAAAGGAGAAAGAAAGAGAGAAGGGAAGGGAAGGAAGGAAGAACAAGAAAGAGAAAGAAAGAAAGTAAGTTAGGGAGAGTGATGTCATGGGTTAAGAGCACTTACTCTTACAGAGGACCTGAGTTAGTTCCTAGCCCCCACATGGCGACTCAAAACCATCCTAACTCCGTTCCCTGGGATCCAATGTCTTTTTCTGACCTACCTGGGGAACTAGGAACATGGTGCACATACATGCATGCAGGCAAACAAAAACCCAAAGCACTGATAAACATCAAATATTAAGATTTTTCTTTGAGGGCTGGAAAGATGGCTGAGTGGTTAAGAGCACTGACTGCTCTTCCAGAGATTCTGAGTTCAATTCCCAGCAACCACATGGTGGTTCACAACCATCTGTAATGGGATCAGACGCCCTCTTCTAGTGTGTCTGAAGACAGTATACTCACACATACAAAATAAATAAATCTTTTTAAAAAAACTATATACATATGTGTATTACACATGTGTGTGTATGTGTGTGTGTGTGTGTCAAGCTCTGGAGTGAAGCACTGGCTTTCCTGTCTGAAAGCCTAGCCTCGCCCCAGCCTAGAGGGTTTAATGCAGTTGTGTGCCCTCTGCAGAAATAACTAACTTTTTGCTTGCCCACATCCTATGGATTGTGTGGACTGTTTAAGGGAGGATCCATTTCTAGCAAGGTAGAGATAATTAAAAAGTCCAGACAAGTTCTGACTTTGGCCTCGGACGTTTTAAACAGCAGTGATACGTGACCCTAAGGGACCTTTAATGAATAAGATCTTCAGATCACCTTCCTTTTAGGCCCCTAGGGTTCACCCTGGACAAGAACCCGGCTCTTAGCATCCAAGCAAACTACAATTTACAGCTCCCAGGCACACTTAGAGGAATCTTAAAGTCCCTGCGAACTAACGAACACTATCCTGTTCCTTGTGTCTTCTGGCATGTTCGAGAATTCTAGCCAGGGCATTCCAGTCCCAGCTGAATCAGAAGTAGACTTTTAGTCACCCTCACTGCTTCGAAAATAAAATACACAAAAACAGATGGAGAAAGATTCCAGGGCTGTGTTGCAAGTGTTCAAAGTCCACAGCCAGAGACCTCTCCCAGCACCTCGGCCTTGCGCACGCTGATAGTGCCCACTCTAATCTACACACCCGGAACCCCCAGGTCTCTACTGCACCAGGGACCTCTAAACTGTCTATGCCACACCCTAAGACTCCTAGACTGTGCACACCCTGTTTCTCTCCCTGAGCAGAGGAGGAGTGGGGGTCAGGGGAGTTGCTGAGCAGAGGCGGGGCGAGGTGGGCGGAGCGACCGTAGGCTCAGCCTGGACTCAGCAAAGTTTGCTTCAGCTGCAGCCAAGACTGTGCAAACGCCAGTGGAGTGGCAGGATGAACACAAGCTCCGACCCGGTGGTCATCGTCTCGGCGGTGCGGACCGCCATAGGTCAGTGTCCCGGAGGCCTCCCACCTGCTAACCTGCAGAGGCACAGAGAACCCGGCCAACTGCCTGCTTGCATGCGTGATGGTTCATCTGTCACCTTGTGGTGGCAGGTACTGGTGGTCTGAACTCGGGCTCTGGGCAGCCCTGGGCTTGGTGAAGCACTGATCTAAAGTCCCCAACGCATCTGTCCCCATCTGCCCACTACGAGGTCCTCAATGTGCTCTTGGTTCCAATGGCTTCCCTCTTCCCCATTCTGTTATAGGCTCCTTCAATGGTGCCCTGTCCACCGTGCCTGTCCACGACCTGGGGACAACTGTCATCAAAGAAGTCCTGCAGAGGGCCAAGGTGGCTCCAGAAGAGGTGTCCGAGGTCATATTTGGACACGTTTTGGCAGCAGGTAAGTCCTCAGTAGCCCAGGACAGGTCTGGTTCATTAGAAACAGCATTTATTTTTGCTCACACACCACCACCACCACCAACAACAACAACAACAACAACACGCCATAAATCGCTTTGGAATTCCCTCTGTTAGGATTCTTTCTGTCCCTCCTCCTTCCCCAAGCTGAAGTCACAGCTCCTTTACAAGCTTTTCCCCTGAGTGATCTTAGACTACTGGTCTGTACCACCTTTGCACTGTTAGAAGCAGGGCCAGCCCGATGCACAGGAAAGTATGCACAGTCCTCCACAGACCCCTAAAATGTCACAGTCAAGAAAAGTGTGTGGGCCTGGTACTGTGCCAGAGCTGCAAGTGAGGCTATAGCAGAACAGCTGTACCCTTGTGCACTTGTCATGAGACAGGCTGTTCCTCACTCCTGGGGACTCTCTGCAGGAAGACAGGAGAGTCTAAGAATGCTTCATCGTACCTCTGATTCCTGCTGGGTTTGTAGACCAGTGACTACTGACCATTCGTGTTGACAATTGATTCGGGGCCTGGGTGTGCAGCTCAGTGGTGAAGTGTGTGGCTAGCATGCCTGTGGTTATGAGTTCACCCTCCTGCCCTGCCCTGTGCTTGCTCAGCACACACTTGAGTCAACTGTAGAGAAAATTGTTAATATCCAGTACCAACTTCTGCTCTTACTCTGCCAGAGACCATTTGTATGTGTGCCTGTTGGATATTCTGTACTTTTTTAAATGGGTGGATTGCCTGCATATATGTCTATGTACCACTTGCCTGCCTGGTGCTGGCAGAAGCTAGAAGAAGAGATTGGATTCCCTGGAACTGGAGTTACAGATGGTTGTGGTTATGAGCTGCCATGTGGGTGCTGGGAATCAAACCCCCAAGAGTAGCCAGTGCTAACCACTGAGCCACCTCTTCAAGCCCCAGAATATTCTATATTTGGAAAGGTTCTTATTTCAGAATTTACAATCTCCATCATACTTTTATTTCAATGTATATTAAATTTTAAGTACATGTTGGATAGATAGGATTACATATATGATACATATAATCGGCTAGAACCCAGTTCTGGACAGAAATTTCATTTAATATAGACTTGTTTTGTTTCGAGGCAGGGTTTCTCTGTGTAGCCCTGGCTGTCCTGGAACTCACTCTGTAGACCAGGCTGGCCTCGAACTCAGAAATCTGCCTGCCTCTGCCTCCCAAGTGCTGGGATTAAAGGCATGCACCACCACTGCCAGGCTAGTATACACTTTATATATGTAGGCTGAAGGTTATACAAAATATTTATGGTTTTGTACATGAAATAAATCATGTATATCCAATGTATAGGGGGTAGGCAGTCTTCAACACTGACCTAACCCTGTTACACATCTGCATTTTGACTTCTACCTGACACGGGAGCTCTACAGTGGCATTATTTCAGCATTCAGAAAGTTCCATATTGCCCAGCCTAGAGGTACGTGGCTATAACCCCAGCACTCTGGAGTCTGAGAACTGAGCCATATGAGATTGAGGCCGCCGGGCGGTGGTGGCGCACGCCTTTAATCCCAGCACTTGGGAGGCAGAGGCAGGTGGATTTCTGAGTTCGAGTCCAGCCTGGTCTACGGAGTGAGTTCTAAGACAGCCAGGACTACACAGAGAAACCCTGTCTCAAAAAAAGAAAAAAGAGATTGAGGCCAGCCTGGGCTACTAGCCAGCCTCTTTGTCAAAGAAGAAAAGAAGGGACAGGAGGGAGAGAGAGGCTGGCAGTGACACTGTAGAGAGCTTTCCCAGAATGCGCAAAGCTTGAGTTTAATCCCCAGCACTAAGAAAAAGGAAGTTTTGAATTTTGGATCATTGCTGATTTTGAGAATATGAGTGCTTACTTAACCTGTATTTCCTTGGGTCATTTCAGTTTTGGAGTTTTTGATATTTTTCTTGTTAAAAAATTTAAATTACATTTATTTTATTTTGAGAGGTGCTACAGTGCATGTATGGGGGTTGAAGGACAACTTGTGGGTGCTGGTTCTTTCTACCTCCACTCCCAGTACCCACAATACATGTCCTAGGAACTGAATTCAGGCCATCAGGCTCAGTGGCAAGCACCTTCTTCACCCAGAGAGCTGTCTCTCTGGCATTTGATGTTGTTGTTGTTGTTGACATAGTATCCAAAGTTAATGTGTAGCTAGGATGATGACCTTACACCTTTAAGCTCAAGATGCTTCTGCCTCCACTGCCCAAGCCCTGGGATTTGGGACATTCACCATCATACTTGGCTTGTCTTTTCTGACCCCCTTTGTCCTCACGGTGCTTAAAGTCTTGGTTGAGCCACACAGCACTTTCTCATGGCCCTCCAAGGTCTGACTGTGATACCATCAGCCTTTCCTGTAGTCTACCACTCCCCTCCTCCCTGCTAGCCAGACCAGTGACTCAGAACTTTTCCATGGGTCAAAGGACATTCCATCACTGGTCTCTCTGTCACTTTTTCCACATCTCACTGGTTTCTATCCAATTGCTTACGTCGTTGTCGTGACACAATGTGTCAGCGTTCACTGAGGACTTGTTAAGTGTGTCTTTTATGGTCTTATAAAGCACCATGCAGAGGACTTCCCTCTTATTGCCTCTTAACCCCAGGCTATGTGCATCCCATAATCTTCAGTTAACAAAGGAGCAAGGGACCTGAGATGTCGCTTATCAAGGTCACAGTCTGAAGTGCAGCAAGAACTCAGATCCATCATATTTAAGCCAAGACATCTCCCTAATCATGTAAGAAGGTGTTTGCCGAGTTCCCACTATGTATCCAGCACTGTTCCGGAAGCTAAGGGATAAGTACTGTCTATCCCAGGTCTCTGGCGTGTAGCTCATGTTCTGCTAAATGTTGAGCACTCATTTCTGATCCACAAATCCCTTGAAGATGTGGAGTATAAAAATATCTATCGACGGGCAGTGGTGGCGCACGCCTTTAATCTCAGCACTTGGGAGGCAGAGGCAGGCGAGTTCTGAGTTCTGAGTTTGAGTTCGAGGCCAGCCTGGTCTACAGAGTGAGTTCCAGGACAGCCTGGGCTACACAGAGAAACCCTGTCTCAAAAAACAAAACAAAACAAAATATCTATCGTTGGGGCAGGAGAGATGGCTCAGAGCTTAAGAGCACTGACTGCTCTTCCAGAGGTTTTGAGTTCAGTTCCCAGTACCACATGGTGGCTCACAACCGTGTGTAATGGGATCTGATGCCGCCTTCTGGTGTGTCTGAAGACAGCAACAGTGTACTCGTATGCATAGAGTAAATAAATACATCTTTAATATATATATCAATCATTTTAGTAGGGCATGGTGATATATGATTTTCATCAGAGCACTTGGGAGGCAAAGGTGAGTAGATCAGTGAGTTCAAGGCCAGCCTGATACAATCACGTCTTTACTAAATTAATACCAGTGCATGTTAGTTTTACCTTCATCTTGGAACAACCTAAGATCACCTGGAAAAGTCTTAATGAGAGAGGTGGCACTCTCTACATGGTTGATCTGTGGCTCCTCCTGAGGGTTCCTCTCATTGTTATTTGAGGTGGGAAGGCCCATCCTGTAGAAGTGAGGTCTGGTTCTTCCTCCCTGCCCCGTGCTCCCAGAAATAAGACTCAGACTCAAAATATATTTACAAATACCTTGGCCATATAGCTAGGCTCTTCTCTGACTTGATCATAACTTAAAATAACCCATTTATTCTAATCTACATTTTCCCACCTGTGCTCAGGTACCTTTCGTCTGTCTCGTCACATCTTCTTGGGTGAATGTCTCGTATTTGGCACTGTCCCAGAATCCTTTCTGCCTCCTGGATGTTTCACCTCCTGTTCCCTGCCTAAGCTATAGCCCATCAGATTTATTCTGATCCACATCCATACAGACACAATATAGTCTGTCTACAGTACCCTGAACACAGGCAGAACCTACCAGAGCTGTTCCCTGAACCGCTTCAGGGTGATAGAAGTTGACTGGGCACCAGCAGCCACAAGAAGATGGCACAGGGGCATTTGTTGACCACTGAGTTTCTGACTTGGTTTCCCTGAAAGTGATTGTACTGGCTGGTTTTGTGTGCCAAGCTGACGAAAGCTAGAGTCAACACAAGAAAGGAGCCTCAGTTGAGGAAATGCCTCCATAAGATCCAGCTGTAGGGCATCTTCTCAATTAGTGATCAGTGGGAGAGGGCCCAGCCCATTGTGAATGGTGCCATCCCTGGGTTCTATAACAAAGCAGGCTGAGCAAACCAGGGGAAGCAAGCCAGTAACACCCCTTCCTGGCCTCTGCATCAGCTTCTGCCTCACTTCCTGCCCTGTGTGAGATAAACCCTTTCCTCTCCAGCTTGCTTTTTTTTTTTTTTTTTGGTCATGGTGTCTCACCACAGCAATAGAAACCCTAGCTAAGACAGAGATGGACTAGAAAAGAACTATTATAGTCACATAAATAAAGCAAACAAGCCTTTTCTTCCCCTAAATTCAGTACCCTGAACATAGGCAGTACTAAATTTGGGGCACATTGTCACAGCATTAGATAGTTTGTTGACTGAAATAGACATTGGTATCAGGAATAGGTTTGTAGCTATGCAAAAGCTGACCATGTTGTCTTTTGGGAGAAACATGAGAGGCTTTGGAACTTTAGGTTGGAAAACTCCTTGCTATTTCCAGGGCTTGGAAAAGCAGTAATACTGTAGGAAATGTGGACTGCAGGTGCCTGGCTCCTGAGATTTCAGAGAAGAAAGAAGGAGTCTACCATGAATCAGGTCTGGGTCTTTTCATGTGATATTTTGAGATTCTGTTTGCTGTTCAGGATAGGGCTGAAGAATCACCTTTGAGAACAGCTCCGCTGTGGTGAAACCTTCTGTAGTTCCCTAGGGTCGGCACAAACGCTGGCCAAAGTGGGGCCAGGCCAGATCCTGAACTGGAAACCAAACTTGGCAATCTAAGAGTCATCTGGTACTAGTTTTTGAAGACACACACACACACAAACGCACACACACACACAAAACAATTTTGAGGGAGTCAAGGAGAGCACCTGAGTCTTGGCACCTTGTGGTAAGGTTTGAGTCTTTGGAGACAGTCTCTAAGAAGCCTCAGGTGAAGCCTCAGGTGGTATGGAGGAGACTCTAGGATATTGGAGATGCCGGGACTATAGGATGGCCTCTGATGGGAGCTGCAGATTTGGAATGAGCTAAAAGAAGCAGGAAACCGTTTGCAGTAAATTGCAGGGCAGTGGACCGCCCAAGGCTTTTGTGTCCCAGGAGGCTGTTTGGCTCTGAACTATCCAGTTTTAATTTATACTACTGGATTTTGAGTTTTGCTTAAGTGAGTATTTATTTTATTTTTTAATGTCCAAGTTCTTCCCTTTTGGGATAAAAACTCTCACTAGATGCCATTATTTTGTGAAGTACAACAAATTTAAGCTTATCCCCGACTAGCTGACAAATGAATGAGACTCAGACTATGGTTATTTTATTTGACTTTGACAATTACTGGGGGGGTAATCCTTAATCTACTCTTCTCACTGCTGGCCTGGTTAGCTCCCCAGTGGTGTACCCCAGATACTTGCTGTTTCTCCTGGTCATGTGCTCATGGTCCGTTTCCGCTCATGGTGGCTTCCTCCTCTCCTCTCATTCTTCCTCCTTCTGCTCTCTCCTCCTCCAACCAGGTCTCTCCAGACCCACCTACCTCTAATCCCTTCAGTAATTGGCTGTAGTTAATTTTATTTAACCAATAGTTTTAAATCACAAAACCAGGTTTGCACAACAAAAGCTTGTAAATGTGAGAAGTCACTCAGAGGCCTTGACCCTCAGAGTAGACTTTAGCATTGCAGTACACAGCAACAGAGCAAACCTCAGCAACGGACTATTTTTTGGAGGAGTTATGTTGTCCTGTTTATGTTTTTTATTTTTCTTATGTTTCTGTATTGGGGATTTAGGCATCTGGCATTATTTGTTTAGTTATTTTTTTATTCATTTTAAAAATCAGCTCTATTCTTTCAGTTACAATATCTGCAATATTCAAGGGGGGCATAGAGACACAAGTGCAGAGTGTGTTGTTCAGAATCCCACAGTCCAGAAGCTCTGGATGCTTGCCAGAAGCTTTATATTATTCCCTGGGAGCGTGTCAACAGCTGTCTGCTAGTATCAATAAGCAATTATCATACTAGTCAATTAATAACAGTGGCACCTTTGACTTCAATAACATGGAGAACAACCAACCAGGGGCAGCATGGGATGTACTGGATTTCAATTAATAAGATTAGGAAAGGGAGGGAAAGGGGTGGGTCAGGATACAGGATTCGTATTTAATGGACTTGAGAGGCTAACACGGGGAGGATGACATAAGTATCCAGATGGATTTTGGAAAGGCAGAGTGGTTAAAGGTTAAGGATTAAGCATTAAATTGACTTTGGAAAGAGAGAAGGAGAAATTGAGAGAGAGAGAGAGAGAGAGAGAGGAGCTAGGAGGGGAAAGTTGAGACTGTTATAGTCCACAGATGCTAGCGTCTGTTAAAGCTA